AGAGATCCGCCTGGCTCTGCCTCCCGAGTGCTGGGATTAAAGGCGTGCACCACCACCGCCCGGCCCTAGATATACTTTCTATAAGCCAAACTATGCCTACTTTAAAATTAATTCCCATGAATCTGATTGAATAAATGTATTGACACTGACTGTATTTATTCTCTTTGATCAGAGGTTCCTAGAGGTTTCTGTCTTGGCATTGATGTTTCTGCTATAAAAAGTTGTTTTCCTCAGTCCTGAATTTTAAAAATAAAATGCATCAAATAGGTAAAGTTCTAAACTCAAAGTCATCTGTGAGAGAGACAGATACCATCAATAACGGTCATCACTAGAAAGCAATAAACTACATAATGTATGACATTTTGGACTCTACAAACTCATCTGGACATTAATGGCAAACAATTACTTTAAAAATTTTATCTCAAGAGAAACTATTTTGTATAAAAACATGTGAACATTAAATTCTTCTAAAGTCTGTTGCATATACTATTTATGTTGGCTACATTTGTGAGCAAGTTAAGTTCTAAATTCCTGAAGGAGTATAGGAAGCCTTTTCCAAAACATAATTAGAAATGACTTAAGTATTTGCTGGACCCAAGTAATGCAGTTATGTTGAATTCTGTAAACATACATTAGTGACCCATTATAAATTATGTAAAATAGCTAAATGTCTATCTAAAAAGTCTAATAACATTTACCACAACCACATATATGAAAAAAATGCTAATGAATCAACTACACATGGTATATATAAAATATTCTATCCCAAAACCTGTATAACTTAAATATAATTTAGAAAAGCAAAAGTAAGTGATTGTATGAAAAAAAAAAAAAAAAGATCAGTTCATACCTAACAGCCCAGTATCTACATCATCTTCATTTTTCAAGTTTTCTGCATGCAATTCTGTAAACACAAAGAGAGGTTTAGGTAGAAAAAGCAGTATTTCTTCACAACATGAATATCCAAACTGTTCAACTGCCAGAAGTACCCTGGAGTCAGAGCTGGGTTCAACTTCTGAATTACGACCTATATTACCTTCGGCAAGCAAATACTTTTACAAAAGTCATAAATATGAGAATAGCGTTTATCCCCTGGGTTGTGCTGAACAAAGTTTGTATAAAAGAAATTTAAGAGCATCGTTTTGATTTCAGTTCCTTGCTCCAGTGTCCAAAACACCAATGTCCTCTGTGATGAACTTCTACTTATGGGCATACAACTTTATATAACAAAAGAAAAATATACTGTGTGCACGACAAAACTATCAGGGTTGAAGTAAAAAAAAAAAAAAATGGTCAAGAGTGTGACAGATTTGAAGCAATGGCAGCCAAACTTTTAAGGCCACAGTTAACAGCCAATAATATATTGAGAAGAAGTAATCTATCTTCCCCACCAAAATCAAACAATGGTAACCTGTTCAAGGGCTAACTGCATCTGATTTAGTTTTCATTAGTAAAGGTAATAGTGGAGTGACAAAGTGTTGAATCCTTTTAATACACGATACTCGGTTTTGAGGTTTCTATTTCTCAATAAATTGGCAAGTCAACACCATGTCTGTCCACTATAATGAATACTAAACCATATAACAAATCTGAATGGGGAAGAGCTGAAGAATGTCTTTCGGGCATTCCTCTTTGGCCAGTGCATCAATTTCTGACCCAGCAGAAGAACAGACTCTGTCCGGCAGTAACTCTACCTCATTACAAACACAGAACAGAAAAGCTATTTTGCCTATAAAAAGTAGAAAGTTGGGATGCGGGAAAGAAATCTTTGTCCTCCAGTTTCTCTCTGTTCATTTGTGAACCAGCCTTAGCACATCTACAGCCTACTGTCACATGAACTTTTTCATGAACCTTTGCAAAGGAGGGACTCTGTGATAAAACAGCCGGGCTAACGTCTCAACTAAAGTGTTCCATGCCTCTACATTCCTTCAGAGCGTGCATTTAGTCAGATCCTTTCTAAACGGTTCTCATTATGGAGCAGGGTCCTCCATCTGGGGAGAGAAGACAAAAGCGGGACGACTAAGGAAAGGTACAGTTTCGAGGGAAAGCTTCGGGGCGGCCACCGTGAATGGGGGCGAGTGGTGCACGGGCTCGGCTTTCCTCCGGACAGGCTTACAAGGGCCTGGGGCTTCGGTCAGTACCTTTAACGATCAGGTAGGCGATGGCGAGGAGGAAAGCAAGGAGGCCGGCGAAGAGCAGCGAACACAGGATGGAGAGGACCTGGACGGGCCAGCGCCGAGCCTGGGCTCTGGCGGCCGCAGTGGCCGGGAAGATGCCGTTGCGCTTATCGGGCAGGACGGGCGACCCGTCCCCGACGGGCGGGAGAAGCGGGGCCCTCCGGGGCTCCGACGACGCCCCGGCTGAGAACTCTGCCCGCAGGTCGCGGGCCACCTGGTCGCAGCCCTCGTCCTCGTCGACCTCGCCCTCCCCCCAGCCGTCCCCCTGAGTGAAGTCGGAATACCCAGGCCGAGCCGCGGGGCCCGGGGTGACCCGGCGGCGCCGTCGCGCGGCCGCGGACCGGGCACTCGCTACAAACGACATGGCGGGAAAAGACCGGGGAGACCCGCGGAGGACGAGCGTCCGCCGCCGCCACGCCCCCTCCCCGCGC